TGTTGTTGGTGTACAGTCCTAACAGCTTCTGACTGTTTACACTTCAGCCACCGCGTCGTCCTCCGACTGCAGCTGATTAGCCCCGTGGAAGACGGATGTCCCCACGACGCACTGCCTGTTTTTACGACTCATCATCAGACAGTTATTATCCACGGGTGGAGGAGTGTGTGTGTGTGTGTGTGTGTGTGGTTGATTGAGTGACCCTTCACCCTTGTGGAGGCGGTGTATATTACAACTTGATTTGACAGCAGTCTCATATTTCAGGAAGCTTTAACTAAACACACGGTGAACGCCGCGCTGTGAGTGAGAGCGCTGGTCACTGAGGGGTCGGGTTTCACTGTCACCTGGTACCGTAAACCAAACGGAACTGATTGTATGTTCCTGCTCATCGGTCCTCGTCACTCGTCTGTGACTGGACCTAAAAGCTTTTCATATATTAAGGTCGTAGTTTTGTGGTTATTTAAACCCACTCTGCTCTAAATAGTTCTATAGCGTGGTGGTTATGATGCCTGCCTTACATGCTGAAGGTCCTGGGTTTGATCCCCAATGGAACCACAAACTGAATGGTCCTCATGTGAGTCACTCTGGATAAAAGTGTCAGCTGAATAGTTTGGTTTAATGAGTCAGTGATTATTGATCAGTGATTATTGATCAGTGATTGGTTTCACTCTGACGTAACCATTAATGTTGAAACAAATATTTGAGGATGGATTTTTTAATTATTTAATATTTGAATTTATGGTTGGTTGGTTGGTTGGTTGGTTGGTTAGTTAGTTGGTTGGTTGGTTGGTTGGCAGGCAGCCTGTTTTGTGGTGGTGACATCATGTGACTTTTTATTGTATGAATGTAGAGTGTGTCTCTGGTTGGTCGTTCATTTCTGGAGGTCGTGTGAAGGTGATGGAGACTGAGGATGACATCATCTGCTGACAGTGGTTGTTGTTGTTGTAGTTGTTGTTGTCGTCGTCAAAGCTACAACGATGAACGCTGTTGTCTGTTTCTCTGACTGTAGATAAACGTCCTGACCATCATATATGACTGAAGTCTCTGTTTACGGCTGCGTTAAAATAAAGAATTAAAAATGTGTGGTTGGCTGAAGAGGAACCGTCCAATCAGCACGAGGCCTCCAACACCCTGGAGACTGAAAGAGTGGAGTGAGTCCAGTCGTGAGGTGTGAAACAACAGTCTGAAAAGACAGCGTTCTGTCAAGGCAGTGGTTCTGTTCACAGGAACAGTCTGATGTACTGTACAACCGTGGGTGTGTGTGCGTGTGTGTGTGCGTGTGTGGGGTTGATTTTTCCGGACATTTCCACAGACTCAGCTGCTCAGGGATAAATTCATGTTCACACAGAGAAAATGTTTTTTTTTTTTAATCTCCACCACATGAACACAGTGCAGCGGCAGACGCTCGCCACAAGGGCACCTTGACAACCAACCGCCGCTGCAGGAAACACTTGTTTTCATCTGTTTTCCAGGGAATGTTTTCATCATCTGCACCTCCTCACGTTCTCCTCCAAATGTATGAACGTGCACATATATGCACATATATTTATATACAGTCTGTATATATGTATTTACAGAGGGAGAGACATTGATCAAACAGATCAATGATTGGCTCTCGCCCTCGGTTCAAATGACAGCGTTGATTTTTTTTATCTCATAACTAACTGATTAGATTAACTATTATAACCACGACCAAAGGAATGTTGTTGACTGAGTACTCTGATGAAAAACAGTTTTTCTTATTTATGCAGTACTTTGAAGTATCACTTGTTTGGTTTTAATATTTGGGATTATTTCCAGGATCTTCCGCAGTGAATCACCTTCTAAAACCCGATGGTTGTTCAGCCCCAAACAGAACGAGAACGTCTGCGTCGACGTGCGTTCTCCGGTCAGATGATGGATGTGGTAGCGTCTCCGTGTGAAAACATTTATAGAAGTGCAGCTGAGCCTCAGTGCAGATCGTCTTCAGATTCAGGGGGCGCTGTCATAAACATTCCCTCTCTGCAGCTGGCACACACACACGTGTGTGTCATTTGATATTTGGCTCATGCAGAACAGAAGCACAGCTGCAGGCCACGGGAAACACGGAGCAGCGACGCCATTGGCTGATTTGTTTCTGACAGTTCCACCGAACCGTCACCAGGGTTGGTTTTTGTCGTCGACTTTTACCGAATGTAAATTCACCCGTGTTTCACTGGCGGCTCGGGTCGACGTCTCCTGTGAATACGCCCAGGGATTTTGTTTACTTTAGGAAATGGATGTGATTT